GTGGATTCTGAGAATCTTTCATCTCATCCATATACTTTGCTACCTGCATTAAAGGAAGGCTTTTTCAATGATATCACATTTATTGCTAGTAATGGTGAAAAGGTAATTATTTATAACATTGTATTGTTGTAATTATTTACATGTATAATGTGGTTGATTTATTTAACTTGATCTTTAATTTATTTTTTGTCCTCAACAGTTGTATAATATTGATAATAAAAGCATGTTATCTTTGTATTTGTTTTTTAGCTTCTAGCTCACAAGACAATTCTTTCTTGTTTCTTTGCTGATGTCCATACATGGGACAGAATTCCTTCTTTTCTTGAGAACTTGCCTTCAGATGTGCTCCATGCATTGTTACACTACCTGTATACTTGTTCTCTGCCAAGTAACATCCTAGATGAAACTGCAAGGCAGCTTCTAAGAGTTGTACAACTGAATGGAAAAGATATTGGGAATTTAGGAGAGCTGTGTACAGAGTTTCTTGAGGCAACAGCTGTGAAAAACAGTAAGTAGTCAATTTTTGGTACCCACAAATTCATGTTCTTGAGTAGAGATAGTAAAGCCAAAAGAGAGTAAAAGTCTCTTGCTTTAGAATGCAACATTGACAATGATCCAAATAAGAAAGAAAAAAAAACTGTTGTAGAATTCATGAACGTGTTCAGGAAAGCAATCTTCCCTTGGGCTAGCACCTCGCCCCTGAAAGGAAATTACATCAGGTTGACTACCTGAACAAAGAAAATCTTCCACTCCAGCAGGATTCGAAAACACAACCTCTGGATTAGATTGTCGTCAATCTTACTAATAATTTGACTTATTGTAATGACATTTATTACTTGCATAAAATGAGTGATGCATGATCTGCTCAATTTGTATTGATCATAACTACTGCCTTCCCATTTTTCCATGTCATTAGTCCTCATTAAGCCAGTGCTTGTAAACAAGAAGTGAGCCCCACCTTCTAGCTATAAATTATTCCATCATTTTTGTAGCATGCCGAGTTTTTTTTTTCTCTTGATTATTTTTTTTTTTTTGCAGGAATTCGAAGCCTAGTGAGTGACTTGTACAGTCTCGCGGAGTACATCTTACAAATGGCTCAATCCCTTACCACAGGTCTACAACATGATAGCACCACTAATCAAACTGCCAATAGTGGTCATATGCATCGAATTGAACCTTCAAAGGTTGTTGATGTAACTAAGATGGCACTAAGACAACTGGCTATAGGTAGGTTTAATATTAAAAGTACAGTTATAATAGTGGTAACAGCTGAGCTGAAAAAATATTAAAAACTTAAAGCTATGTGTGATATTTGCAGAGTCCAGACTGAGCTTTCTATCAGAGCACTCACTAGCTACCTTAAATTTCTGAAAAATAATTAAAGGTTGCTTGAGCTCTAGACCTTTTTGACAAAATCTCTTAACTTTTGGTTAGGAACGTCTTCTGTCTGCTGTCAAGTAAAGTTAAAGTCTGCATTTCAGCTAAGTGGCCCACCAGGCCGGAACTTATCCCAGTTTTTGTGGCATGAAGTAACTAGGAGTATTTCTACTCCTCCCTGGGTGGGATGCCAGTCCCTCACAGGGCTACAGTCCCAGCATTAAATTTGCTGGTACCCATTTGTACACCTGGGTGGAGAGAGGCACTGTGAGAGTAAAGGATCTTGTCCAAGAACACAACACAATGTCCCCAGCGAGGGCTTAAACCTGGACCGCTTGATCCAGAGTTGAGTGCACAAACCATGAGGCCACTGCACCTCCACTGTCATCAAGAAAAAAATAACATTTATGAAGTGTAATGAAACCTTCACCTTCTGGTCCCAAGGATTTCAGGGGCCAGGGGGGATGTATTAAATAAATAAATATTGCAATGATAATTTGAGTCTGAATATAAGGAAGTTAATTACAATATTCTCTTGTTTTTTTTCTCCTTTTGTGTCAGGAATTTTAAAGTTTGTTTTGCTCTGTGATATTTTTACCAAGCACAAGTCTGATTTATCAAGAGAAGAAAGACAAGAAATAATTCAACACTGTAGAAAAAGGTGTGAGATACAACAGTCTTAAAAATAGCTATAGTAATTTACTATGCTGTGAAATCTTCTCAGATGGTATAATGTACTACAGATTCTTGCACAGAATCCTGTAGGATTTTTGTACAGGATGTAACACATTCTTCAGGATTGTCATTTTAACTGTTTTTTTTTATTATCATTATTATTTGCCACAATAAAAAAAGAAGTAACTATATACAAGAAGAACAAAAATTTTGATAGGGCAAGGAGGCCTCCAAACAACCAACAGGCATCTAGCAGAAATCAAAGCCACCTCAAAATATAGTTTTATTTTTTAGCTTTGTGTCTGTGGGATGACCAAACCTGTAGCATTATTTCATTAAAGATTTAATCATACTTATTGTTTTTTTCTTAGAGCTAGGGAAGCTTGTGAGGATTATTCCTAAGCAGGATCCCAGCTGATTATAATAAGTGTTCCTTTAAGAATGATCCTACACCATTGCACAGGTTACCTATTAGATCCTGCAGGACGGTACTTAAGATTTCAAACAGGTTTGTTGTTTGTTGTTACTTCCAGGTTGCCTAGTTTTGTGGAGTTAGTGGAGAAGTTCTTGATCATATTTCAAGATGCTCTGTCTGGACTGAATGATTGTGAGAAGGAAGAAATGGCTGTGTGTCTTATTCCCGAGGTTTGCATCTTTAACAATAATTGTTCGCTGCATTTATGCATCATTGAAGCTTAATCTTAAGGTTTTCATAAGTATAGAAGAGGTCACATCTACAGTCATTTAAAGACATGCTTTCACTGAAGTGAATTTTAAATTACACTTATTTATCTAGTTCTGATTTTTGTATGTTGAGGGTGTTTGTTTTTTTCTTTCTTTCCAAAGATTGAGAAGATTTGGTCAAAATGCACTCAGCTTGGGAGTGATGCTAATATTGCTCTGGCAACAATAACTAGAAAAGCAGACAAAGATCACAAAACTAAGACCCACCTTCCAAAGATGGCAACGTCTTTAAGCAGAACACTCAGAAATGTAAGGAAACACCTAGGGTTGATTACCAGCTGCTGTTCAGGAAAGGCACCCAGGCTCCTTCTGCAAACTCTCTTCTTAGTGAGGAAAGTAGACCAGACTCGCCAGCCGAAATCAAGCCTGGGAAATGCCAAACTTCAAAGCATATTTTTCCACACACTTAACTGACTTTATTGTTGGGCTTGGCTCTCTATGACAACCCTGTCTGATGCCATTCTTTTTCAGCTGATCTCCTAGAGTCTTTTTACATTTTTTTTTTTTCACTTCCCCTTCCCTTGAGGATTCTCAGAGTGGCAGTCAAACTATATAATATTATAATTTTAATATTTGTATTTTTATTGTTAAACTTAACAGGCAGTCCACTTGAGGGAAGTTATAACACTCAAGAGATTTCATGACAAGGTTTCATCGTCTCTTATGTTTCTCTTACAAAAAAGGTGAGACATTTGGCATGTATGCTGTGACATTTATCATATACATCATATGGCTTTGTAGAAATCCTGAGCTGACCTATATAGGACCACATGAGCAGATGCCAGTTGGTTTGGGAATGGCTACAGCTGTTCTCTACAAATATCCACAGTTCCTGGAAACCAGATCTTCGATAATAATGATGCATGTGTGATGTAGTTTAGAATAATTTTTGGGAATTTCTTGGCTAGTTCTTAGATTCTTTGTGCAAACTCAATTCTCTGTAGGAAAAAAGATGGTGGTTGGTACATATTTTACGCATAAATCTTTAACATCCTTCATGAAAATACAGAAAAGTTCTAAAATCTTCAAACCTAGCATACACAAATTTGTTAGTGCAGGGACAAATGTTGCAAAAATATGGCTTACTTTGTACTTTATGGGCTGTGTAAGGTTCACATGGTATTGTGGTAAAATGTACAGCTGTCATCTTTTTTCCTATGGAGGATTTGGACAAGGAAAACTCTGCAAGACAGTGTACATGGTAGAAGGATAGAGGGATGCATGCATGCATGCATTGGGAAATGGAGTGTTAAGCTTATAACAAGTTAAGTAGATACAGTTTAAGTGAACACATTTCTTTGACTACTTCAGGGGAGATTTTAGTTCTCTGTCAGAAGAACAAAAACTGAGGTCTGTGGTGAAGACCATGGATAACATAATGCTAGAGGTAGGTGATTGATTCGAATGTGTTTCATTGGTTTATACTAACAATGCTAACTTCCTTCAGCTGGATTACAATGCTGCTAAATCTGGTTGGTAATCAAAACAATTTATAGATATTTCAGAAGGAAGAAGGGGGAGTAAAGGGGTTGGAGAAGGGGTGTGTGTGTGGGGTGATGGGGTGAGGGGTGAGGGGTGGGGTTTGGCACTCACAGGAAGAGCCGTTTTGGATGAGGAGAGATCATTTGAGAAGTTAGTTTACATGAATTTTTTTTATTTTGGTTTAGGTACCAGAGCACATTCATACTCTTCATAAATTTCCAAGAATATTTGAAAAAAAGCTGCCGTGGAAGCAATGGAAGTATTTGTACAAAGAGTGGATGTCATTTGTGGTAAGACAAGTGGTTAATTGCTTACTATTCATAATTTTGAAAAAAGTCAAGTCTACTTTCTGACCCTGTTGGTGTCTGTAGTGTGAAACTACTAGGAGTATCGCCACAGGCTTGTCTTTTCAGGCTATCCTCAGCATCAAGTATCCCGTACTAACAAATCTCTGCTACCAATTTATACTCCTTAGTAGGAGGTAATGTGAGGATAAACTGTCTTGCTGAAGAACACAACAAAGTGAACTTGAACAGGGCATGAAGCCAGGCTCCTTGATCTGTAGCTCAGTGCACTACCATTAATCCTACTGCACATCACTTGAATGTCAGTAATAACAATTAGTAATGAATATTATTATGTGCACTTACAGCTGCCAACTCCACCTCTTCACCTCATTGGTCAAATAAAACTGATAAGCTGTCAGAAAGTTATCATTAAAAATTAATAACTGCATCAAAAATTTAGTCGTGTAGCTGTGATGTGGCATGTACATTGTATTACTGTAAAAGGGGCCAGCCAGAAATTGTGCTGGGGTAATTATCGGGTTTGGATCAGCAGGGATGTGTTGTTTAAGTTAGTATCTAGTCAGGAAAACTTGCGATCGAGACAAACCTTTCCTAGTCTGCATGGAGAGTGCAGGAAGACGAGGAGGGGCAGCTGGAAAAGAGAGGAATAAGGGAGTGGGGCGGGAAAAGAAAGGCAGGTACCTTCAACAAAGCAGCAAAAACAACAACAACTTCAACAAATTTTTAAGACCTTTCTTGACTCATTTCAGGATAACTGTCAATAACTTAAACAACTCTCAACTTTCTTATGCAGAGTCTGGGGTTAAGGAAAGTGTTAGCAAACAAAGACATTCTTGAGCCAGTTGTAGAACAAACCATCAGTCTAGTGCATGAAGAGGAATTCAACAGTCTTGCGAAAGAGCTTGGTTTCCTAAAGGAAAGTTGTAGTGATGGCAAAACAGAGTGCGTAACTCCACCAAAGGTAATTTTTGTTGGTGACAAACCGGTTTTACCGATCCGAAAGGCAAAACTAATGGCGCATCTGCAGTTTTTGCAAGTGACAGCATAGGATAAGGTTTTGGTTGAATATTTGTTGAAAGGGCTATTTTTAAGAGATTATTTTTGGCGAGAACTTTTCGTTTCAAAAATGCTCGGGTTTATGCTTGCAAGGGGATTTGCGCCGTTTTAGATGTATGGCAAAACTTACCTAACCACAAAAAGGCAAATTTTGTATGGATGTTATTTGGTAATAAAGTTGTTGTTTTGACCTCTAAATCTGTTCTTTTGTTTTCTCACAGAAGAGCAATGCTCGAGTGGAGTCTGTAATTACTTGTCCGCCCGGAGATAAGAGCCCCCTGGCACACTCGGTCATGCAGCTCTTGATATCTGGAGATCATGCTGACATGCGATTTATCTTAAACAAAACAGACTTATCTCATAATGCCACCTGTGCTGAATGCAAAAGAATCATTGAACAGAACTCTTTAGAGATTGCTGCGCACCGTGTGATTGTAGCGACTCGCTGTGATTGGTTTAGAAGAGCGCTGCTAAGTGGCATGAAGGAATCTATTGAAAGGTTCGTGGGTTTATCGTGAAAGCTGCACTATAGCGCTCAGACGTATAATTAGTCCCAGACTTGTAATACTGAAGGAGATGAACCTGGAAAATAAGTAGAGGATATTGCACTGTGAGACGAAGATATGAGCTTTATTTTCGAGTGGCAATACAATATTTTACGAACGAGCGCAGCGAGGGGGTAAATTATTGTTTTAAACACGAGAAAATAGAATTGATATCTTCAAGCCACAGTGAAATTTTTCTATTTTTAATATAGACAAACTGACTGATTGCACAAACAACCATGAAAAAGCGAGAAATCAATATCCTCACTGTTGAGGATATGGCAAAGACGCCCCTCGGGTGTCGGATTTAGTTTTGTGTGAATATTTACGAGTGGTGTATTTTCCAGTAAAACACTCGGGCTATATAATAAACAGGATTTAAACTTTAAGCGAACACGACAACTTTTGATGCGCCCGAATTACGCGAAAACAAACAGACTCGTTATTTGTCTCAGAGGTTAAGAGAAAAGCGCGAGGCGTACGTACAAAGCAGATGAAAGTGTTTTATACAGTATACCCTTAATTCACTGTTTTCGTAGTAACAGTGAACAAAACCATCAGAAAAACATTTAATGATGTTTAATTGCAAGTACAAATTTTCTGCCCCTTACAGTTATCTTGTCGCATTTATCTTTGTACGAATAACATTGCAAGGTTTTTGGCTCAACACCGTTTTCGGTAATTCGGCTGTAGAGCTAAAATTCCATGTTTGCCTTTCATTCTGTGGAAAGTAAAGTATTGCTATTTGTCAAGCCCTTTACTCAGCAACAAAATAGAACGTTTCACGGGTACTAATGATTCTGTTTGTTAATTTATAAACTTTGACTTGTAGGCGGATCTTAGTTCCTGACACGAGTCCATGTTTATTCTACAAGTTTCTGGGTTACCTGTACAGCGGTTTGCTGGATACGCGTAGCCTCAGTCTGGATGACGTCACAGAAATGCTAGCACTGAGTGATAAGTACGAGGTAAATTTACGAGGTATCTCTTACCGTCAAGTTAATTGCTGACTGATTTTGGAATAAGAATGGTTTTAAATAACTGACAGTGCAAAGTTTAAATGTGTGTTTGGTGTGGTTGTGTTTGGCTAATAAAGGAAAACAAATCGCGCAATTGCTTTCACCAATCTGGGAAAACACACGAAAAAGAAAGAACCAATCGAGAATTGTCTTGCGTCCGTTTTCGCGCGCATAACTGGCGAGAGTGGCATTGTTTCCCGCCCTGGGTACCGGTTTCATGTTGTCAGTGGTTTGGCACAGGGTGCATGCGTGTTTTCCCGCGTTTAGCGAGGGTCGCATGTTTTGCCGCCCTTGGTACCGGTTTAATGCTGCCAGTGGTTTGGTGCCGGGGGCATGTGCATTTTCTTGCGCTTAATGAAAGTCGCATGGTTTCCCGCCCTTACACCGGTGTCATGTTGTTTGGGGCTGGGTGCGTGCGTGTTTTCCTGCGCCTGGCGCCCATTTTATTTCTTTCCTTCATCTCTGACATGTGATTTCATTTGTTTTGGGTAATAAGCAAAGGATCTACACCGCGCCCTCGGGTAATAATCTCCTCAAGGAACTTATCTTATCCAAAAACATGGTTGATATTCCTTATATAACAGACGTGGTAACACTGTTTATGTGTTATCTTTTGTTCCAGGTGGATTCTTTGAAAGAGAGTTGTGAAGAAACATTACGAAAAGATATCGACAATGACACGGTGCTCCTCTGTCTGGGCGTCGCTGAACAATTTTCTGTGTCCCGTTTAAAGGTAAGAACCATTTAAACGTTAAGATGGAAGTCCGTCCCGTATATCCACGATAAATTGATGTCTCCGCCAAAAGCATGTCTGATTAACCTCTTTTTCCTTTCGCTTGTGTACCCGTTGGCTTAGACAGCCTGCACCGCCGCAAAAGTGAGGAACTGTGAACTTTTCTTAGACTGGACCTCCTTACCCACCCTCACTCCAACCTCGGCGGTCCCCATTGCTTTTCCTTGAAATTTGGAAGGGGCGTAAAAGTCCTGGACCGAGGTTGACTCCTCCCTCTTCCCTCTTCTCTCAACTTTTCTAACGCTTGTCCACGCTTGCCTGTTGTGAGGGACACTGAATAGTTTTGTGTGTTCGTTTTAGGAAGAATGTTTCCGCTATATAACAGTGCATCCTGAAGTCATGGAATCAGAAATATTTGAAGAGCTTCCATGCCAATTGAAAAAGGAGATCACAGATAAAGTACAGCAAAACATGTAAGTGATTCATTGCAGGGCAATGTCATTGTCGGAATACTGTTATTAGACAAGGCATTGATCAGAAGTTGTGTCTGGAATCGCGTCGAAAATTATGAGAGATTTACGATTCCAGTTTCTCATATTGACCCTCCCTCCCCCCTTATTGCTAACCAACTGTGGCCGAATTCCTGAGTGGTGGCCTCCTGTTTGCAAATTTGTACGACTTTTTTTATTTCCAGTTCGTAAGGCCAGTTGGAAGGTCTACAAATATACTTGAAACTCAGTCTTGTGATAGAAGAGCAGAAACACGAACACATTTCCCTCGCATTTCTAATTTCTCTAAGTTTTGAGCGAAATTGTTCTCTCTGTTTTAGGCCAAAGGCTGACCCGGTTATGGAGGAAGTCCTACAAGCCTTTGCTGTAAGTGTTAAATTTTTTAGCCCTAATCTGGTGCTGTTTGTAAATTTATTGTCACTGAAAGCTCAGAAAGGTGTCTTTTACGAGCAGAGGCCGGGACCATCGAATACCACGCCTCCTTGCTCTCCCCACCCCCTATCTATTTCTCGAGCAGAGAGCTTTCCCACAGGCCTTCTTAGTTCTTGCAGGCTCGCGTCTGTTACAAGTAGGACTGGGGCTGACTGGGGCGATTTTAGCGGAGACTTTTTGTTACTATTACAAGAATTCGATTAGTCTTCATTCACAGTCCTCGAAATTTATTGATAAATGCTTTTTTTTGTTGATCCATAGATGGGAAATTTAGAAGACTTTCCTGACGATCTGATTGTACACTGTTCCGATCATAGCATAGATGACAGCGATGATGACGATGACGAAATGCCACGTGGTAACAGTCAAGTTGAGCGATGCATTGAACAGCTCCGAGATGTCCTGGGCGACGCTGTGCCGCGGAGGGAACTGGTGCGAGTCACACTTGCCGCGGACTGTGATCCCAATAGGGCCCTTAACTTTTACTTCGCTTGACAAAAATCTAATCGGCTTGGCGAACTTCGTTTTCATGATTCCGTGGGAAAACTAACCTAGGACAGATGGCCAGTGGCCTCTTCTATAGCCATCAGTTTACCTTTTAGCCTACACGCTCCGAACAAACCATTCTTCAAGGTGTGTTGCTAAGTAACCGACATAATTTCATTCGGTTTTTTAGCGTTTAATCAACATTCAATATTTTGGCCAAGGGTTAGTGGAAATTTTGAAAAAGTTACGAGCTGTGAGTTTACTTTAACACAAAAGATTTACAATTACTGGTTAACTTCTGTTAAAGTAGTTTTACTCTTTCTTACAGCTTCATTCTTGAATTTGAGTAGAAAAATCTTTTGCTGCTAAGTAGCGCCTTTCAACCTCGTTCCCAGGGTCCAGTATCTTCCTCCCTCGAGAAAGTACAGAGAGGACCCTGAAAACGAGGTTGCGCGTCTTTCTCCTAACAAAGGTTTCAAGGAAAAATTTCCCAACTTTACTGAAGAAGAACAGAAGCTACTGATGATTATCAACATGTTGCTGCGTCTGCGAATGTTGCCTATGCGAATTTAAAGCCAGCTTTTTAAGACATTGAGTGGGAGTTCTTCTTCAGAGCAAAAATCACTTACGACATATTCTGTCTAATTATGACTGGTTGGTCGGTTAAAATTGATTAAAATTTTTGCTTTAATTATTGAAATTCACTGCCGTCATTGAATACAATTGTTGAAGTGCCATAGAGTGAAATGGAAAAAGCTTTTTGCATTTAGGCCGTAATTGCAACTGAAGAGAATGTCGGGCAGCGTTTCTTGCCGGGTTATTGTTCAAAATTTCATTGGCAGTTCTTCACTGTTTTCTTCTTTGCCAAACGTTTGCAGGGTGTCGGGATGAGTTTTACGCCTGGATTGAACGAAAATCCTTTTTGCCAGCTGACAAGTAGTGAGCATTTTAACTGAAAACTAAAAACTGTTTCAAAGACGATAACGTCCTTTCCGACAGCTGACAAAACGGCTTAACTGGCAGAAACACTCTGATGAATGTCTCTTTCTACTAAGTGACATTTTAGTTTTCAAATTCGTCAGCTTCCTTCTGAATTATTAGACGAGGCGCTTTTTGAGAAAAACATGTAAAACGTCGACTATACATAAAAGAAATGCGTAGATATTTTCATCACCGTGGGAAACGACATCTGGTCGACTGAAATTTTTTTGTTGGCTTTAGCAAAGGGGCAATGGTTATTTATGAAGCTTAATTTTGAAATTGTAGTGTAACGAAAAGTTTAATATTAAATTGTGCAGAAGTCTAGTCGTATTTCCTGTCATACACCTAAGTGAAAATACTCTAATACACCGGGTATTTATTGATGTTATCGAGGTTATTTATCGTAACTGACAAAGCCTTAAACTATTCACCTGGTATTGTACAATAGTTGTATTATTCTTTACATCAACTGTGAGGAAAATTAGCATTTTAAAAACCTTCAGTCTCACATACAGTATTTCAAATTAACCCCAGAGAGGGCGAAATTGGTGTTCTCATTTTCACTTCACTCGCGCTGGTTAAAACGGCAATTTGCACTTATTAATTTTTTGCGCGTTTGAAAATTCACCGGTGTTGGATGTTGGATGACGGCCAATAAGTAGATTGATTTCACTGTACTGCCGAACCAAAGAAAAGGCACATGATGAGTTAGAAAGCGCTGATAAATAATTCATCTGTCCTAAAAAAAGGAGTTTTCAATTTCGCCGTTCAGTTGTACGGGTGGTTGCTATGTTATGCATAAACACAGTGGCCTCGTAAGTTCTATCAATTCCTTGCGTTCGCGCTTGAATAACAAGAAGGGCTACGATGAAGCAGAATTTATCATACTCAAGGCAAATGATGACGGGCACTCGAAAAATATAAATGAAGAGCTTTTAAAGATTTCATCGGAGTCCAAATGGGATGCGGAACATCAAAAACGCTGCAGGTGAATGCAGATGTCACTGAAGCTTCCAAAGTGAAGCAAGTTCATACAGAAGAGAATGGAAGTCGAGGCTTCAATCCACGGAGTGAAGGAACTGCACCGAACCAGTACGACTGCAATGAGGACGTGCATTTGACGAGAACTGAAAAAAAGACATCTGCCGGGCATATTAATCCGCCGCAACACAAAACCTTTGAGATCGGTGACAGCGTACACGTTCTTGGTTATGTTGGAGTTGTGAAGTTTGTTGGCGTCACTGAGTTAGGTGAAGGGGAGTGGATTGGCATTGAAATGCGGCGAGAACTTGAGCAAGGGAACGACGGATCTTACGAGGGACTTCAGTACTTTCCTTGTGCGCCCAAACGCGGTGTCTTTGCAAGACCTTCGGTGGTATTTCCCCATTCGGGTTCACAAGACAAGCCAGACAAAATCAACACTATTTCACCTGCTGTTCTTGCGCTTTTGCAAATTCGATTACGACGCACACTTTCAGCAATTCGAAGGCGAAAACTCCAGCTTCGCACGGATATCGAGAAGGCTGTGGATGTCCATGTTAAGGCAACACCGAGAAGCGAAACGGAGAGCGTCATTAAACTTAGCCACTATCTCACAGAGCCGTATGAAACCTTGACAAGCAAGGCCCTCGCTTGTTATCGATGGATAACAACCAACGTGCACTTTGATGTAGAGGGATACTTCGAAAGAGCGATCAAGAAACGCACCGATGCCGAAAGTGTGTTGCGGGACCGTGTTACATCAAGTGAAGGTTACGCAACCCTTTTTGAGGAGCTGTGCCGAGCGTCCAACGTCCCAGCTAGGAAGGTAAAGGGTTTTGCTAAAGGCTATGGCTACCAGATGAGGCAAAAGATTCCAGAACCGAACCACACATGGAACGTGATAAGAGTTAGCGGTGGAAAGTGGTTCATTTGTGACCCGACTTGGGGCGCTGGACAACTTGGAAAGGACATGATGTTTCACAGAGATCCCAATGTCCATCAATTCATGATTCCCCCTTCTGCTGCGATTACAAACCACTTCCCTGTCGAAGAGAAATGGCAGTTTTTGGATCACCCCATCACAAAGGAGGCCTTCGAGAGATTGGCTGTTCCTTCTGGACATCTGCGCATGATGAATGTAGAGCTGTGTAGCCATAGAGAGAGCATGTACACGGCATCGGACAGCGAGCAAATTGAAATGACATTTTACGTCACGGATAGCACTATCTTGAAAGGAGTATTGAAGAGCGATGTCGCAGGAAGAGAGAGAGCTACTCGACGGAACATGGTCCTTGCCGAGCCCGATCGTCAAAAAGACAAAGTCAAACTGACAGCTCAGTTTCCCTCCGCCGGGGAATTTTTCTTAGACGTTCTGGTCCTGGTGGACTCCAGATGGGAACATGGGGTCCGATATTGCATTTATTCCACGGCTGGTGTTGGAGAGAGCAGAGGTGGATTTCCCACTGTAAGCCTGAATTTAAAGTCCCTGGGGTTTCGGTTGTATAGCCCTTTGACGAATATCGAAACCAAGCATGGAAAATGCAGTGTTGACGTGATTTGCTACAAAAAGCGGTTCAGCGGGCTCGCGGGAAAGTTAATGAAGACGTCGAGTGTGGGAACCAACCAAACGGAAGATCCTCATTTGTGCTGCAGTGAAAAAACTGAAAATGGTTTTCGTCTCAAAGTTCACCTGCCATGCAAAGGGGAATACAAGCTGAGCGTTTACGCTAAATATTACGATCACAGTAAACCAGACGAATTTCTATGCACATACTTTGTCACTTCCTACAAAGGAGTCGGCCCCATGGCTGGATTTCCTGTGGTTACAGAGAGGCTACGACTCTGGGGTCTAACTCTTTCAAGTCACTCGGAAAACATTTTCGCAGAAAATGGGCGCTCTTCTATCATCCTGAAAAACCCCAAAGGTGTTTTACTGTCAGCGCATCTCACGCTAAATGACAATGATCTTCATGGAATGTGTTCTGTGGAAAACATGGAAAATGAGTCCACAGTTCACGCACATGCTCCTGAAAGTGGCGTGTTTACGCTAAACATCTTCGGTCGTAAAGCCGCTGATGGGAAATCTGAATTCCTGTGTTCCTACGCTATCAAAGCTCTCAAAGGTGTAAGCGACAATCCAGGCTTTCCTCAAATCTCAGAACTGTTTAAGAAATGGCAGATAGAATTGATAGATCAACACGAGAATATTTTGTCGGAGAGCGGCCGAACATCATTGAAGCTTAAGACACCTGGAAGCGTCTTAATCCAAGCCACTCTCCATCAAAACGAAGAAAATCTCCCTCATGAACTGTGTTTTACCGAAAGGGAAGACTCTATCAGCAAAATATGCGTGCATTTGCCGACCGCCGGGTTGTACAAACTCAACATCTTCGGACGCGAGGGGCCCGGAGCCAAGGGACAGTTCCTATGTTCGTTCAGTTTGCTGGCGACGTCGGGATTCGGTGAAAACCCGGGATTCCCGCGGATCTCCGATGAGTTTCGGGCGTGGGGTCTCCGCCTGGAAAGCCACCGGCAGAACATCACTGTGTACGATGGTTCCGTGGCTATCACTTTCATTAATCCAAACGCTATCAAGCTCATTGTCTGTCTGTTAGACGAAAACGAGGTAACCCACGTCAAATCATGTTTGAGAACAGATCGAGCTGATGAGAGAGAGGTGATTTATTGTCAGCTTCCCAGTAAAGGGAAGTACAGATTGGACGTGTTTGGGAAAAACTCTGCAGATGCCAAGAAAAAACTGTTCTTGTGCAGTTACTCAATCTATTATTAGATCTACATGTTTAACCAGGGGGTACTCCCCGAAATTTTTAGTGGTATGGGGGTGCGCGTCTTTATTTCAGACCAAAACATGTAATTTTCAACACCCTATTTCAAACGTGTCCCAAACGTTGATATTCTATTACAGATCACTAGAATTAGTACACGTCTCTGATACATGAACTGAGTTAACCTGAAACCTGGACCTGGAATGGCTTCCTATGAGTACACATTCGGGAAGGCCTTCGAATTTTCCGATTTCAATGGATAAAATATTGTATTAGTTTCATCTTAACAACGTGCTGTCTCATACCAAAATGGTCAAAATTTATTCCCCTATTTCAGACCAAAACGGCCCTCCCTCTTTGGCTCCACACAGCTAAAAAGTTTGCATAAGGGAGTACTTCCTGGGGAGGAATATAATATGCGTGAAAACTGAATGGGTTTGTTTACTTTGCCAATGTTTTGATACCTCGCAGGACATTAAATATTTAGAACGTCGGCGAAAAAAATTCAATATAGTTCGCTAAGGGTTTTGCTAATTATGAACCCAAACTTTATTAATTCCACAAACACCGTACCCCGAAACCCTTCCAAAACGTCCACTTTCGGCTTTCTCGTTCATGCGCTTTGCATTTACACGACGTGTCGTAGAATTACTCAGAATCCTTGACGAATTCTGCGGCCTTTTCTTCAAACACAGTTTGTTCTCCTTGTGTGCATGTACCCACCTAATGAGTGTGTAATTACGACGTACGCGTAAGAACTCTGCGCTATGTATTTATATCGACTCAATACATTATAGCCTTACTGAACTAAGCTCACAAAAAAGCTTGTTAATGAGTTGTAATGAGCAAAGTAAGGGATAGCCATACATTTCAATTAAAAACTCTCATTACGAGTTTATTGAACAGGTGTAGCCATATGTTGATATCTCATTAATTTTTTCACTTTACAACTTATTTGCATAAAGTTGAAGATATGCTTCCCAGCGGTGTTGTTTTTCTTTCAAAACTCGACTAAAGAAATTTTATTTTTACCGAAACTGCCAAAGAACGCAGGATGACTGTTCGAAACAATAATGTTTTCTCACGCCACAACAATCGATTAAATTATTGAAAGGTTTTCTCAGTTTGAAATAACTGGAGCAAAACCAAAAGGAAAGACATCACATACCGAACCAACATAATTTATTAGCCAACAGAACTTGAAGCCAAGCGAAACATATAACAAATGGCAAGCACGGGAAAGCAATCATCCGATGGTAAGAGCGGGAAAACAGTGAACGATAGCAACCGCGTGAAAACGTGTAACCGGAAGCAAGCGCGGGAAATATGTAACCGATGCCAAGCGCGGAAGAAAACACATGTAACCGATGATGAGCGCTAGAAAACATGTAACTCCCGATGGCAAGTGCGAGAAAACATACACAGAAACGACAGGAAAACATGCAAGGCGAAACAAATCATCTTTGCACAGACTGCCTGGAGGTTATTTGTAAAAAGCGGTTTTCTGATTAATCAATCCACGAATCTTACCAATTTATCACGCAGAGGAAAGTCTCAGTCAAATAGGAACAAGCGTCCTTGAAAATCCACTCTCTTCTGCTTGCTTTCAATCAAGTAAATTCCAAACTGTTTAGTGTCAATAAATCACACTTAACTCGTATACAACACTTTGTATGTGCATAGAAACACTTGTTTTGTGCTGTCTATTGATAAATTCGTTCCAAAAACATTCAGTTTAAACTTTCCAGTATCTGGCAACTGGCACGTCGTCGTGGTCTTGTGGTCAGCGGTTTCCACCGGGCAAGAGTTGCCAATCTGCTTGTTATGCTCATCAAACAGCCATGACTTGATAGAAATATTGTTGGGATTATTAAACGTGACTGACACGTGACTATCACGTGAAACAATGTTCTCGACCTGATCCACCAATTCCAGTCCCCAGTCTTTGAACTCGTCCTTTAGGTACGGGAAGCCTGGGTTTGGACTAGCTGCCAACTCTGACTTGATCATGAATGTTGCTAGGTATTCGGTTTCTTTACTTCCGGTCTTTTTACCAAAAATGTTCAGCTGAAACACGCCGGCTTCTGGCGTGTGTACAAGAATCGTGCTTACACCGTCCTCTGCGGCCTTAGCGAAACACAAACTGTTATCGAGATTGTGGTTCCCCTCCGCTAAAGACCCAACAACAGATACATCATCTGGGATTTTCAGCTGGACAGACGCTCGGCCATCCGGGACATAGATGTTCTCTCTAGGCTCCTTGAGTTCCAGGCCCCAGGAGACAAACGTGTCGGACATTCTCGGGAAGCCTGGAATAGGCCCTACACCATAGAGTGCATTGATATAGTAGGTACAAACGTATGTATCTGAGTGGTCCTCATCAAAGTGCTTTGCGAAAATTTTCAGAGTGTATTCTCCCGCTAACGGGCAATGAACCTTGACCTGAAAGCCATTGTTCGTCTTCTCAGAGTAACAAAAAGAAAATCCTTGAAATTCCTTTTTAAGGCTTTTGTTTTTCCCTTCTAGTTCCAGCTGGCCGCTGATCCGGGAAATTTGGGAGTTGTAGTTGTGCAAAGAGATACAGGCTGTCCCATCTTGTGATACAATGTTCTCGAGCGGGTGATCCAGGTGAAACCCGGCTTCGTAAAACTCACTTCCCAACTGTGGGAATCCCCCTCGTTTTTCCGCCACTCCCTTGTTGGTGTGGATAACGTACTCTACTCCGTGATGCCATTTATTAGCCGAGACTTCGTCCCTTACGTACAAATTCAACTTGTATTTGCCGGGGGCTGGGAACTGTGCTTTTAATTTGACTTGGTTCAGCCCAGATGGAAGGACCTGGGTCCACTTTCGTCCTTCGTGTTCTTTGCAAGAAAGGTTCTTCAGATCGCCTCGCAGTATCTTGAGGGAAGGAGAGTAGAACATCATTTCTATATTATCTGCATCACTAATATCGTAGATGCTTTCCTTGTGGCTGAGCACTTCAATTCCCATCTGGTGAATTCTTCCGGAAGGCACAACCAACCTCTCAAACTCCTCCTTGCTGATTGGTTTGTCGAGAAGTTGCCATTGTTCGTCAGCAGGGTAATGGCTGCAGATGGCGTACTCAGGGTCCATAAGGAACATGGCCACGTCCGGGCTCCGGTGGAACATCAAATCAGCTCCTAGGTAACCAGCTCCCCAAGTGGGCTCGCTAATGAACCACTCTCCATTGACTTGAACGCCATTCCACGCATGATTTTGGTCTTTAATCCGCTGGCCTGGTTCAAATCCATAACCCTTGGCATAGCCCTCGATAGAATGCACTTGTAATCCGGCAACTTTACCGAGGGCTTCAAACAGACTCGCATAACCAGCGCATACCGATGTTTTATGCCGCAATACACTGGCTGCATCGTTGCTCTTTTTCTCCGCCCTTCCAAAAAACCCATCGACGTCATAAGCTACGTTAAAGCTCAACCAGCGGAAGATTGCATAAGCTTTATTCCTGTCGCCTTGCCAGGGGCTCGTCAAGTACTCGCTCAGTACCTCCACGCTTTCGGTTTTCTCCTCCGGTGTCGACAACACGTGTGCGTCAATCTGCTTCTCGATTCCCGTCCGCTGCTGAAATCTCGCGAGTCGAATCCTGGCAAGATAACGGCGCATGCTAGTCTGAATAAAAGCGATTGTCCGAGGAGAAATACTTGCCGCTTCGTTGATGGCATCCACGTCTGTGTGTGGAAAGACAGTGGACGCTCGGGCAAACATGCCTCGCTGGGCCTTGCAAGTAAAATACCGAACACCGTGAAATACTCCATCATTTCCTTGAGGATGTCGACGGTCTAACTCAATTCCTATCCACTCACCGTCCCCAAAATTGTCAAGACTGCCGATAAACTTGACGCTACCTGTGTATCCCGAAACATGTACTCGGTCGCCTAGAGAAAATTTCTTTTCGCTGCTTTCAGTTAAGTTGGCTTCATGAGCGATGATTCGCGGCTTGTCTTCAAGTGGAGTCGGTTTTGAATCAACGTTGTCATTCGTATCTCGAACGACGGGTTTATTGTGGTCCACATTCGTGACTACGACGGCAGTTTCAACAGATTTTGATGATCCGCACCCCATGATTGCCAGAGGAGGACAAATATTTCGTTTTCTCGCTTAAGTACACTTATTCACTGGCTGGTGAATTTGATTTATTTATGCACCCATATGACAAAGACTTGCAAGGCAGCACGTTGCGTTGCCAACAACAAATGCTTTTGATATGGTAATCAGTCTGATATCAAATAAATCATAAGTAATCTCTTTAAGTAGCTTGTACCAATAACACAAAGCGTTCTACATAAAAAAGACTTCTTAAAAACAGTTCAAAATCACCTGCCGACAATTAATTGCTGCTTTTCGGGCAAAACAAGAAGGACCTTCATCATTGTAACAACAATAGAGAACGAAAGCTTAAGCTGCTTTTAGTTGTGAATAAATTATGAGGTTACTTTCCGTGCAATCAGACCATTCAGTAGGTGTATCTAACCATATTTGTTTGGAAGAAAACATCCCTTTTTTTTCCTTTTCAGAGTTACTGTCTCTTTCAACGAGAACCATTAACTTTACGATAAGAGTACATAACAAATAGCACCTCTTTCATCAGGTTAATGACAAATCCAAAATTAATTGTTGTCATTCAGTAATGTATAGCCAAACTAAACATTTTGAACACTACTGACAGCCTGAAGCTTCATTTTTGAAAGCACGATTGCTTGATTATTCTAGTTTTTCCCTTTTCTTTCATTGTAGTGCCATGTAAAAGTTGTTTTAACTTTAAGTTACAAGAATCTAATTAGTTTTTTCATTAGCAAAGAGCTGATTATTCTTCAATTTAACCAAACGCATCGTCCAGAACATAACTTTATTCTAAAAGGAGAACATTTTATTCCTGTATACCTTTACAAGCAAACTGGAGCAACTATTTCAAACTTCAACCTCACCTTTTGATTATTGCTTGTGATAAATTCGTTATCAAAAGTTGTTTATAATCGTCCGCAATTACTCTAATTCAATGTTTACCGAAAAAACAAACGTGCAATAAACAAGCAATCACCTTGGCAATGACGTAAATATTTTTCAGGGTAACAATACAGCTTGCTAAAAAAGTTACAGGTAATAATGGGTCAGCCCGGGGATGGCTATCATCAAAGGCACTTTTATCTTTCAAGTTTTTAATCTTTTTAATCTTAATTTTTAATCTTTCGTTGTTACATGTAATCTTTTAATATCATGGGTGACTAATTACTCCTTAATTTTGGTGCGAAATTTCAGCGTTAATTTATAACTTCACAAGTAAAATTACAAAATCGCCATAGCAACGTTTGGAGCGAAATTTCTCGCTTCATAGACGAGTCAGGGACTGTAAGCGTAATTTGTCACCTATGATATATCAACTGATATACTCGTGAAATTAGAAATGATTTCACTTACTTTTTGTCAAAATTACAATAGTTTCCCTCTTAATGAAATTATTAGAAATTCGACAAAACGTAGGTGAAATTATTTCCTAATTTCACTCGTCACCATTTGATTACCCATACTTATATATCTTGTTTATACCCTGCTGTGTGACAATTCAAATTGAGTCGTAGGACTATCACGAGGCACTATTTTGTATTCTGTAAAAGGAGATTCTCTATAGCGTTTGAGTCTATGACTGGAATCCTGGTGTGTGACCATTTAAATGAACGATACTTTTTTTTCTCATGTGGTATTGTAGATTTTGCTGTACAAGGTAGCTCTAACTTTAAAATCTGTGGATGAAACCCTGAGTGTGACCATTTAAATATAATGAAAGCTATTGAGCAGAATTTTCATGTGGTACTGTTTATTATGCTGTACAGGGTGTTTCTAACTTTTTAGGGCTGTAGATAAACCTTAGTGTGAACATTCAAATAACTAATTGCAAGGTACTTTCATGTGGTACTGTTTATTATGCTTTACAAGCTGGTTCTAACTTTTAAGTCTGTGGATGAAACCCTAATGTGTGACCATTCAAATGAAAGCTATTGAGCAGCACCTTCATGTGGTACTATTAATTTTGCTGTACAAAGTGGTTCTAACGTTTAAGTACTTAGAGCTTTGAACTGTCATTAATCAGAATTTTACACAAAGGTTTAAGAGTCTATCTTAAGTCATCAAAACACTAACGAGATTATGAAAGCTTTGAGATTGATTACATGACTGTACTTACAACCAGAAACAAAGGAAGGCAAAAGCGAAAATATCAGTTTGAGTTCTACATGATAGAGCTGGGCTCCAAATAAATTAAAGTACTTCAAACGCCATCTCTCCAGATAAGATTGGAAACAGTTGACTTGAACCAAAACAAAAATAACACTGCTATGTCAATGTCTTCATCTGTTCAACTTTCTCATTGTAAAGATTGTGGAATTCTTTTGCCAAGTAGTAAAATGGTGCCTCCACGTTCTCGTGATCTTTCTGTGAACAGAAGGCAACATAGAACCCTCAG